GCGTCGAGCTCGGGCGTTCGAATCGACCGAGGTAACATCGACTGATACAGGTCCCGAACATCGATACCCAAAAGTGATCACCTAGCTCAAAACCAAGGCCGAGGTTCCGATCCGATACCGAGCTCGAGTCGGTATCGAGTTCACAGACAAAAAGCTGTTACAACCGCACCAAAGGAGAGAATCTCTGCGGGAATTAAGGAGGAGACACACCATCATGGGTCCTCCACTAGTAATATTTATTCCATCATGTTGCTATAGATAAAGTAGTGATCCTTGGCTATAAAAGAAAAGATAGTTTGTAATAGAAGGCACTTTTTGGCTGGGATTAAGAATTCATTGTGTTTATTCTTCTAAATCTCACTAAATATCTTTGTTCATCATCTTCTATTTTTACATCATAAATACATGTATTGTTATTTTCAGATCAAAAAAATTTACTTACCCTTAGAATCATACATAAATTTAACGTTATCCAATTTTTTGGGTAAACAAACTTGCCTGCTCTTGCATTGCATACTAAAAAGTAAGTATATGTAAACTTTAGATAGGCATTATTTGCTTGCTTTAATGAAAGTTTATTTGGTAGGACAGGTCTTATGGTGGGAAATGATGAGATGGTCTAGTGTTATTAACTGGAACACATATAAGACATGCACGGTTTCTAAGCCCGTCTATATCTTTGAATGATGATGAATTTGCAGATCTGTTTCAGCGTACGTAGTCCACTGCATCAAGCAGCAGAATTTGACCCAAAATTATAACCAATCTTATCTCAAAGCCGACAGAGAAAACACTTGCCACTCTCTCATGCTGCCACGTTCATGATCATGTCGACTGTGCTTAATTCACGTGACACCTGTGAAGTTCTGGTGCCATCAGCCATGCACCGGAGCTTTTCATCCCTATATCAATCCCGTTTTCGCACTTAAATTTGAAACCATTTACACTCGGTATTTTCAACAGACAGAATTGTGTAGTTCAGATTTTAATTAGTTTTGCTCTCTGTTCGTGAAGAAATGTCGCACTACGACAACCAATTTAGTGCAGGCCAGGCCTTGCAGACGGACGAATACGGCAATCCCATTCGTCAAACCGACGAATATGGGAACCCAGTCCATCACACTGGAGGTACCATGGGAGACTATGGAACCACCGGAACAGGAGGTGCCTATGGAACTCACGCTGGCGGTGGCGCCGGCCACACCACTGGCATACTTGGTGGGGAACACCGTCCCGGCCATGAGCACGGTACTCTCGGTGGCATGCTCCACCGTTCTGGAAGCTCCAGCTCCAGCTCTAGCTCTGTAAGTAATCTTTTCTAAACTTATTTTTCCAAGTATTCGATACTTTCTTTGTACTCCCGTAATGATAGTTTGTTTTTTTTGTAAAAATAAACCTCAAATGCAAAAAGAGCTTCTTATGGATGGAGTCGGCGGTGTAATTCAGCATATTATTGTTGTATGTCTCTCTTAATTATATTCAACACTTGTGCTTGTGTTTGTTTTGCAGTCGGAGGATGATGGACAAGGCGGAAGAAGGAAGAAGAAAGGGATGAAGGAGAAGATTAAGGAGAAATTGCCAGGAGGTCACAAAGACGATCAGACTCATTCAACTGCAACAACTACGACTACCGGTTATGGTATGGAAGGGGAGCATCATCATGAGAAGAAGGGAATCATGGACAAGATTAAGGAGAAGCTTCCTGGCCACCATGGACCTGGCCACCACTAGAAAAGCTGCTGCCAAACAATAAAATCCCTTTAAAGATACATGTAAAATGTTGGTCTAATACTTTTTGTATTTCAACGTTGTTTCTAGTTATTAGTCTTTTGAGTTTTGAGAGCGTGGCGTTTATTTGAATAAAGCCATGTTAGACTCTTAAGTAGTGGAAGCATAGTCTTACATGTAATAAGTACGTTGTAATGTTGCAAGCACGTTGTGTCGTGTACCTCGTTATAGTGATGTGTCGTGAATGTATTTAAATTCATAGGAACATTTTTTCTTTCTTGCCTGAGATTCTGAAGGAACCTTTAAGGGTTCGATCACATGGATGATGATTTTGATAGCAAATACTACAAAACAGGCATAGTAACGAGCTGTAACGGAACAAGGACTGCGGGAAAAAAATGGGTAATGGAACGACTATTAGTTTCCCACCTCTTATTATAATCAGTGATGCAAAAGAATTGTAAAACAGTAATGGAACGAATATTAGTTTCCTATCTCTTATTTCAATCAGTGATGCAAGAGAATTGGTACATAAACAGACGAGGAAGACGTGAGAAATGAGAAAGAACCAATACCTGAAGCAGTGTTAGGTACATTTGTTTTTTAGATGAAAATCCCCCTCCTGCTGCTGCTGAAGTTAGATTACAAGAGAGTAAAAATTGGACACGACAAAGTGCTGCTTAAGTTATTAGATTAGAAGTGTGAGTAAAAATTGGACACACCAAAGTGAGAAAGGATACTGAGGTCCAGCTGAGCGCTCTTTGTTTCATAGGTACAAGGCAATTGCTTCGATTTTGCCTGAACATGTTCTGTGACCAGATAAAAGTACATGAAGTTTCCAGCTTTTACCTGCATTGTCTACCCAGAGGAGCCTTTCCTGGTTCCCAGGAATAGCATGTTTTGTGCTAGCATATTCTCCATCGAATTTAAGCCACAGATGGGATCAGGGTTGAATCATGTCTGCACCAACATTGAGTTCCAATTTCAACATATCCCAGCAAATTTAAGCAACACAGGCATCAGAGTTGAGTCTGGTGAAACGTATCATCTGCTAGACAACCGAGTTTGCAATAAAATTGAAGTCGCACAGTTACTACAGTCACAGATCTTCTGATCCCATACACACAGTACCAAACTTCAGGATCGCCTATCTTCTGCTGCAACTCACACCCAGGGCTTTCACATACACAGGAAACGATACCACAAAAAAATAACTTAAAGTCAGAAAATGCAAGGGTGAGAGGACGAAACATCCCAGCTTCTTTGAAGCATGTAAAAATTATTACTAATATTCTAAGTCATTCCTTAGAGGAGAAACTATAAAAAGGAAATGAGTATCCCTGGGCTTTGCAAGAACACGTGGAGATCAAGCCTGTTGTCTGTTCCTGTCACCTAGGCTATCTTATGGTGTAAAAATATCAAGTTTGAGAGAAACATGGATCTTATTTTCACCATGATACTAGCCTTTCTATGTAAACTTTACTTCCGGAGATGGCTGTCTTTTTATAGAGCTAGTTCCATATTTCTATACACTCTACAAATTAGAATGTAGATGAGCTTGTTTATTCCGATCAATTGAAATCCAAAGAAGTTCACAGCCTCAGAGCAATAAGCAATTTTTATTTTAATTTGCCAGCAGTAACGCTTGAGTTCTACAAACTTTCAGAGATGTCATTTATTTCCAATAATCAATCAGGTGTCAAAGTTAACTAAACTCGGTACTGATCAACAATTTGTCAAATAAGATTCTATATGAGAGTTGTATGTCCCAGGTGAGTGCAATCTTAAACTGACACTAAATGTATATATCCAGCAGTATAGGTACCTGTCATATAGATTGGCACCTTGGATCATAGACATTTATAGAACTTAGGTTTGCCCTTGAATGAATTAATCATACCCTTCAGTTGAACAAGAATCCCAATTCCTCACTTCAGAAGCAATTCAAAACCAGTTTGAATAACTGAGGCACTTGTGACGAGTAATGGCCATCTCTGAAGAAAAAGGATCCTTCAAACTCACAGAGTGGCACTTGAGAGAAATGAGAGTTCTTGCTTCAATTACCAAAAGTTACCACAAGAGCACACACCATTGCGGAAATGGTGAAATCTCTTGTTATCCCTGATAATAATCTCCCTGCCAGTGATTTGAGATGCACCGCACATAAATGAGTGGCAATCTTCACATATTCTCAGATTTTTCATGATCCTGATGGTAGACTCATTATCAGTGATAAGCAGCCCATATGCCAAAGCCAGCTTCTCACTATGTGTGAGAAGTATTCGCTTTTTATTTTCCTCACTCAGATCATAAGGCACAGAACTTAAGTTTGGCTCATAGCCATGTGTCTTAAGCCGACCAACAAGATCCTCAAGTGCTTCCTTTATCTCTTTTGACTTTGGGTGGGTCATATCACCAGCGTAGAACTCATGAATCACCCCCACTTTGCCTTCAATCCAGCTGCGTGAAGGATCCTTTCTCAGCAGTTTTTGTTTTATTAATTTCCTTATCCCTAAAACATCTTCCCACCTTCCTGCTGAAGCATATGTATTGGCAAGCAGGACATAGTTTCCAATACTATCAGGTTCAAGCTCAAATAAACGGCTGGCAGCAACTTGTGCAATTTCAGGATTACCATGAATCCGACAAGCTCCCAGTAGGGCTCCCCAGACACCACTATTAGGCTCTATTGGCATCGCTTTGATAAGCTGAAGAGCTTCTTCTAGTTGCCCAGCCCTGCCAAGGAGATCAATCATGCAAGCATAGTGTTCTACTGATGGTTCAACACCATAATGTTTCTCCATCATATCAAACAGGTGTCGACCCCGTTCTACCAAACCTACATGAGTACAAGCCATAAGAACACCAATGAATGTCACCTTATTAGGCTTTACCTCAGTTTTCACCATTTCATCGAACAAATCCAATGCAGCACTCGCACATCCATGCATTGCGAAACCCACAATCATCGAACTATATGAGAACACATTCTTTTCCTTCATGTTCTCGAAAACCTTGTATGCCTCCTCCACATTCCCACACTTGGAGTACATATCAATCAATGCAGATCCGACCATGACATGATTGGCAGGTCCAAAACCATATCCCTCAGCCACATCATGAACCCAATTTGCATACTTAGCAGTCCCCAACTGCGCACAAGCTGAAATAACCCCAATCAATGTTACCTCATCAGTCTCCACACCTCCACACTGCATCCTATTAAAGAACTCCAATGCCTCCCTTGGTTTAGCATTCTGTGCAAAACCCGACACCATAGCCGTCCATGCAACCAAATCTTTCACAGGCAATCTCTCAAACAGCTCAGCAGCTGCCACCATATCTCCAGTTTTTGAATATGCAACGATCAACGAAGTCCACGAAATCACGTCCCTCTCGGACATTTCATCGAACACCTTTCGACCACAATCCAACCAACCACATTTCACATACATATCAATCAAAATATTATGAACAAACAAATCTTTACAGAACCCACCAAGCTTTATGCCCTGACAATGAATCTGCTTACCTAGATTCAACCCAAGTTCATCGCTACAACCCTTGAGCAAAGCCGTCAAAGTAAAAGAAACGGGGGATATACTTTCCATTCTCATACCATTATACAAACGCACTGCCTCGCTCAATGGTCCTTGAATTGAATAACCCCGAATTAAAGCGGTCCATAGAAAAGGGTTACGGTATTCCACTTGATGAAATACAAGACGGGGATATGGGTCCATTTGGACATTGATTTTTGTGAGCATACGGAGTAGCTTCGCGAGAACATAGCAGCATTGGTCAAGACCTCTGCGAATAACGTGAGCATGGACTTGTTTGATCTGAATTAGGCTGCTACAGTTGTCGAGAAGTGAAACCAGATGGGATTCTAAGAGCTTTGTCTCTTGAAGACGGGAAAATGGGACAAAGGGCTGCGAAGCTTCTGGGTTTCCGAGCTCGTAACTTATGGATCTTGGGATAGGGTTCCTGGGTGCGATCAGCTTCCGAGCTAGTGAAACCATTACATGCAAAGCTAAGGTCTACAGTTGAGACAGAAAGAAACCAGAAGGACGATGGAAAGCTAACTCCTATTATCCTATACATGAGTGTGCCAACTTAGGATGGCAATTGACTGTAAATGATTTATATTGTAAAATTAAAAAAATAATTTTTAAATCAAAATAGTTTAATGAATCTGATTTTTAACGGTTGTGAAAGTTGCAGGAGTGATGTTACACTTTTGAACTTCTCAAATAAAAAAGCATCATATAACCTCGGATAGAGATTACTAGGCATCTAGGCTCTAGCTTTGTGAGTTGTAAAAGTGAATTAGTTAAACTTGTGTGCAACTTAACTCAGATGAAGGAAGGACAAGAGTCAATATCTCTAAATTTAGATAGAAATTGGACATCAATTCATTAGTTTTCTTGCAATGAAACTTCCGCATTTAGAAACTAATCAGAACTCAGAAGTACTCAAGTCAAAATAGTTTAAACTACTTGAAAAATGTTGAAAAATTCGTAGTCGAGCCTTTGTTCAAACCAAATCAATGGTGACGGGTTTTTAAATTTATAAATCAAACCAAACCAACAAAGTCGGGTTTTTCAATCTCGGTTTTTCTCGTGTTTATTCGGGTTTTCAGATTTTTTTCCGGTAAAGACTTCATAGCATAAAATATGTAACTTGTGCTCCAAATATTTCTTAAGTCCTACTAAAATACAACTATATAATGTGTTTTCCAAGAAACTAACACAATAATATGAGATAAGTCATAGCATTATACTAAAATATTCAATAACAAATATAAAATAATAAAATTATATAAAACAAATATTGTTAATTAATAAGCCATAATGAAAATTAACATAATCTAAAAATACTATATAGGTCATGCTAAAATAAGTATAGCTAATAAGTACTAATATTAATTACGTAACTAATCACTAAAGAAAAAGATAAACTAAGTTATGCATTTTCATTATAAACTAATATAAAACTAAAATAATTATCCAACACTATCGTCATTTTTAGTATTGAATTGAATTTATTTTGTTAGCATTAGTATTGATTTGAACTTGTTTGAGTTACTACATTTATTGGCTATAAAATTTATTTACCATTCAAAAATGTTAAGTCTAAACTTGAAATAATACGTTAAAAGATAAAACTGTGAAAAAGTTTAAGAAATATTTATAAATTACATTACAACAAATATTTATATGTATAAAAAAAATTAAAAATTATATAAATGTACTATCGGGTTAGTTTGGTTTCGGTTTGACTTTTTTTTAGTTAAAACCAAACCAAACCAATTATGGTCGAGTTTTATTTTCCAATACCAAACCAAACATCGGATTTTTTTTCCGGTTTGACTCGGATTATCAGTTTGGTGCGGTTTATCGGTTTTCTTTGTACACCCCTGTATGTCGGTATACTAAAGCCTTTTGTTTCACTTTTGCAACATTTTAACCTAGCACTCAATTCTTCAAGGATCTGGTGATACGAGGGAGCTAATCCCGGTATAATTCAGATAGATGGTGGACTATCTGACTATGAGATGTTCAAGCAGCTTCAATCTGTGTAGCTACCATTGCTTCTTCGATGCATAACATGTTTTTACCCCACCTCTACTATAACAGGACTGGTTACCTAATATATGTGTGTGTGTATTAGTCAGACAGGAGATAACTTAGCTTTCTTGACCCAAAAAGGAAACCCCACTCTCTACTTACAGGAAATACAGGTCCAGAAACACAATGATGCAAAGGCCTTTACCCAGACGTCAATTTAATCATACTATTTCCTCCCAGACTATATACTATCCTGCTAAGAAACCAAAAAGAAGATGTAAAATTATGGTGAATGATTAGCAGCATTAGTCCTTCTGACACCACATTGACAACATCAAGGATGAGAAAGTCGTTTTTTTTACACTCACAAAATATATAAGCAAGAGACGGCTAAACTGTTTCTCTATGGTATTTCATTTCCTGTTGTTGACCACCTACTCACAGCTTATAAATTTCCACGTTTCATCTACAAATGCAGCTCCAACTGAGAATAGAGGCTTTATGCTAGCCAACAGTAATAAAATCTCATGTCCTTTGATGTTCCTTTGCTTTTTGCAACACGTCCTTTAAAACTGCTGCAATTCTTTCTTCCATGTGACGCTCCAGAAATACCTCTTTCACCCTCTCATACCCTTTTTTACCCATTGTAAGCCTCCTCTCAACGTGAGTGGCTAATTTAACAATGTTTTTTGCAAGGGGCATTATCCCTTCTTTCCCCACAGGATGTAGCAGACCAGTCGTTCCATCTATTACAATTTCTTGGGTGCCACCAGCTGCAGTGCCCTGAAATGAAAGGCAAGAAGATGAGAGTGTAAGTTCTTCCAATCTAACAAAATATTTTAGATTATGCAAAGAAAATGTTGCATGTAAAAGAATAACTATGCAACAAGGCACAAGCCAAGATGGAGGAAGAAAATGGCAATTACCAACACAGGCAGCTGAAATGCCATGGCCTCAATAGTAATCCGACCAAAGCATTCACCCCGTGCCTACATGGTTAAAAGAGAAGGGATGAAAAATATGAAGTTAGCTATTACCGTAGTAGTAAAATTATCTTACTTAAGAGGACAAAAAGAAAAAAGAAAAAGAAAAAAAAGTGACCTAGCATCCACCCCATGCCTACAAACCTGAGAATTCTGAACAAGAACGTCAATTGCAGCAAGATATGGGGCTACTGTCAGTGTCTTATTGACAAAATGAACATACTTTTCAATCTTCTTTGATATAACGAAGTTCCTAAGCTCTGTCTCAAATTTGCTATGACTAGTCATGTCACTCCCTACAACAACAGCATGAATTGATGGCAATTGTAACTTCCGTTCTTGAATAAGCTGCAAGCTCTCATAGAACGCCCGTAAAAATATGTCCTGACCCTTCCCACGAGTAACACCTGCAATATTGCAAACCCAGGTCATACTGTAGTTAGAAAAGGACCGTTAGTGAGAAAGCTACCAATATTTCGAATCCAAGTCGTGCAGTAGTTAAAGAAAAGTCTGTACAGCATGATGAGGAATACAAGTGAATCATAGTGATTAGATAAATTCAGAAAATATATCAAGAGCAATCCACCTAAGCAGGTATTCAAGAAAGCAGCTTTTATCAGGATCGAAGCATGATAAATTGCAATGCATAATAGTATTAAAGGAAAAGGCTTACTATTTATGATGGCAAATAGTATATCTTCATTTCGAACTCCAAGAGATTCACGAACATGCTCCCTCAAAATTCTTTTTGCCACACTATCTTCAGCAATTTCCATTAGCTCATTGCTGTTGCCAAGATGAACAACATGGGTTTTCGGCATTTTGATCCTACAGAATATTAATAACAATTTAGAGAGATTATACAACGCATACAACCAAGAACGGAAAAATGAAGGATAAGCAACGTATACAAGGTAGATTTGGACATAAATGAGAAGTTCAGTCTTTCTGGAGTTCACCCAAAGTTTGAGCCTTCAGACCCAAGTATTAGAAAGAAGATTTCCATTAGATCCCCTTACCAACGGAGAAATAAATTCAACTAAATTTTTATGATCAGGTAAAGAAAATAAATAGCTAAATTTTATGCCTGGAAATAGATTGAGATGCACTTTGAGTTTAAAATTACTTCATCAAGCATCCACCACAATTAGGATCAGGGTACTTTCAGTATAAGTAACATTAGAATTACTGTTAGCATTTTCTGGTAATCCGACTAAGTACTCTTCTATGTAACAAAATGCAAACCAGATAGTTTTCCTGGAGTGCTGTTTTTTCACTTCTTGAGTCCAACAGAATCTCATTAGAATAGATATTGATAAAGACACCAATGACAGAGATAAGAAACCAGATGGTAAAGGGTTAACTAAAATGAAGCAATCTGAAGTTACCAACGGAATCATAAATTTCCAGCAAAGATAAGAAAGCTCTTGCATCTTGTGATCTAAACTTCCGCAGTAGAAAGATTACTTTTATCAGCTAGATTTGTATGAAGTACAAGCTAACCTATCTTTGTGTGTGTGTGTGTGTGTGTGTGTGTGTGTGTGTGTG